CTTATCTCTATATTCTTGTCTGCCTTTTTTTTTTTTTTCCTTCTTCCAGTAGTAATTAAAAAAGCACACAAATGTGTATGAGTCACAGTTTTAAGTAGCTGCCCCACCCATGGGTAACATGAATAAGAAAGATTGGCTTTGTATGGGATTCTCCATTTGAATGGCAAACTGAAAGCAGTAGTAATGCTATTTAATGAGCTAAACGGGTCTGGAAGTTATTCTGACCTATACAAAAGCTAATGTGCCATAGATGTTCTCTTGCCAAGGGTTTCTCTTTTAAGTACTGACCTAGGGCAAGACAAAGCTCTCTGAGAACTATGAAAATGGAACTAAGACTGTAGGCTGGACTAGCCTGGTCACACACCAGAGTGCTGCTCTCTGTTGTTACTGAAATATTTTTAATAATTATCAGAAAATTACTTCACTTATAAGATATTCTAATAGATAAAAAGCTAAGTAGAGTTACTGTTCAGGAAACATCTAAGTAATACTCTCCTAAAAAGGAGAATTTCATTTAATATACAAAAATTACAAACCAACAGTCGAGGAAGTAGAAAGATATATAAAGTATTATTTGACTGTGACTTTTTTTTTCTTTTTTTTCTCCTTTGGCTTCCAGACTGATTTCACAAAAACTGGAATGCTCCAGTTTCCTAACCATTCCTTTCAGTGCCTATCTCTCAGCACTTTGGAAACAGCTTTGACTTGTACAATGTTCTACATCTAAGTGCCCATTATTACAGACAGCTGAGAGTGATTGCATAAACAAGTTACCACATTTTTAGCATTCATACAAGCTTACGATTAGTCAGAAGTGTACTTCGCATGTGCAGTTCAGCATTTTCATACTTCCATGATTTTATTTCCAAACCAAATTGCCTTCGAAAAGCAAAGCACGTATTCATCACCGAGAATTAACTACATACCGAGCTTGCAGATCCAACACAAAGCTGCTTTTGAGCTACGTGGCATTAAAAATAGCATCTGAAAAATTATTTGAGAAAAAATGATTTTCCGTATGTGAATAATTTAAATATACAAATGGAATTTTATTAAACTGTTTTCCTATCATTCCGAAAAAGTTGCATTATGAGAAGATTATGCACTTTAAAGATTTTTGAGAATATTAAGTATGGAATAGCAGCAATAGTAGAATAGCAGTGACAGCTTTAAGGACTGAGTGGCTGCTACATGCCAGAAATACTTGTGAAAACAAGCCATGGTTTATGTATGACAACTGTATTTCAAATGACATTTTTCTTGCCCTAAAAAGAATTCCCCCTTACATTGGTAAGTGCTTACAAAGTCAGAGTTAACTTATTTTGAGTTATTATATCTGAATGTTTCTTCACAGTTTTAAGAGATTTAATTTATTTCTTAATGTCAGGTCATACTGATTTGTAGTTTTCCAAAGGCAAACCTGATTATACTTTATGAATCTGACCAAACTTTCACTTCTGTGAAGCAGGGCAAGCCAAATAATGCTCCAGAGAAGGGGCAAGGGAAGGAAGAAGTAAGTAGAAGACAGTGGCACTTTGGCAGTACCAGTGACAGTCCTGTGAGGATCATTACCAATGTGATATTTCTAATATTTTCTGAGACACAACAACCACATGTGGATTAACCTTTAAAGAGATAAATGTACTTCATACAATATGACTTAATTCACCAGCTGTGCAAGGGAAGATGTTGTGTTTCATCACACATAATGGCCTCACCCTGTAAGCACCCCTACTGATGACAGGCAAGAAAACACTGACCGGTTGCTTTAGAGCAGCCCCGCGTAATGATCTCTGCATCTTTAGAAGGACAATCAGTGAGGAAAACTATAGCCATTGTATTATATCAAAGGCAATATAACATTTAGAATTGAAGCATGGATATTTTCTACATGTCACAAAACATGTACATCCTATTATATGTATTATTAAAATATCTTATTGTGTATTATATACCACAATACTTCTGCATTCTGTGTGTGGCTTTTCACAGAATTGACTACTTGAAAATTGCTTACACTAATCAAGGAACAGATGGCAGAGTCTGACGCTCACCATTCTTCCCTAGTTAAGGGCTAGCTTTAAGTGTGGGTTGAGGACTCCAGCTACTATCCCTAGATTCGTGAAGTTCAGAGAAATTAGCATGGGTCCTCTCCCACTTTTGTCTTACATTTAGCTGTCTCTGAGATCTGTTATAAACTACCCCGTAGTGTATTCCCGTATCAAAGTAACTTAAGTCTCAAGTTCTTAAAGTCTACTTGAAAAATATTTTGAAGGGTATTACTTACTTTATAGATTAATTATTTCAAAAGACCTGTCATAGGGAATAGCAAAAAATAGTTATTGGCTTCAACTGGGTTCCAGACAAAAGATAAGCTGGTGAAATCTACTGTCTTGGACTACGTAGAGTCAGACCAGATTATCTAGTTGTCCTTAAAGACTTGTACTGTAATGGTTCCACACGCTACTTTTGCCCAATTATCTATGCCACTGATAATCATTTGAATAGATCAAATGGGGGAAGGGAAGCTTGGAAATGAAACTTGAAAAGAAGGGATTGGAAACTCGTGATGGAGATAATCCAGGGAAAAACTGGTTAATGAGGAAAACAAAGGGCAGAAAACAAATGTCTTCCTCAAGGTATGTACATCTCTCATACAGTGAAGCTACATGCAGTAACCACAAATGTAACTGCTTATTTTGTGTGCTGCTACCTAATGGCCAGGTTCTAGAATCAACTTTCACAACTTCCTTATGAAAATCAATGAGAGATCTTCAGGCTGAGAGCACCACATACTCCTAAGTGCCTGCTGCAGTCTAAAGTCAAAGACGTCGTGACTTTTCCTTATGATAAACTTGCCATATCCAGTTTAATTAGCTCCATTACTTAGCTCCAGCTGTTACTGTTCTTAGGAGTTTACGCTAGATTCCAGAATTAATCCAGGAGCACTGCTGCTGTACTGAATCACTTCAGATGCCAGTCAAAGTGAATGTTATCCTGGAGCTCATTTACAGCAATTGAAAGGATAAATGTCCTCCCCAGTAGCATAATTCAGGTCAGTGTTATTGGAATACGTGTTGTTCAGCTACTGCTGAGCTTACTTAAAGGTCATCTTCCTTATCTATCAAGGATGGGCTGACAGCCCGGCTAAAAGAAAGTACACAATACTTGGGGTTTTGACTTCCTCTGCCTATCACTATTAATGATGTATTTAATTATTAAATATTATTTTAATTATGTTTTAACTGCTAATATAATATCTTCTGTGCTTTCTCTATATTCTATTTTGTAGAACCAAACACACACTCAGATAAACAAGTTCTTCTTTAGTCATTCTTCACTGCCTGTTTATTCTGCTCTTTTGTTTCTCTCCATATCTCCCTTCTCTCCCACCTTTCCTGTTTAAAGTACTCTCTAATGCCATATATACCCACATTTCAGGAAGAGAGGGACAGACATTGGCATAAGATGTTAATACTCTGAATTGTGTGGTTAATGCTAATTGAGGTAAGTTGTAGAAATATTCTCTATTAACTTCTCTTTCTGTATCAGCTAAGTGAACGCCTGTTTCTTGAACATGATTTCAGATTAAACAGTGCAAGACATTCTTACAATGTATTTTCAAGATACGTCAATATTTCACAACTTGTTATGTATTTTAGCAGTACCTACATAACTGTTCCATCTAAACAATAGGACTATATGTAATAGATCTTTTATTTCATCACCATATAAAGCAAATCCTTGCAGTTCCCAATTCTTTATACCTTAAAGGCCCAAAGCTTTATCATCATAAAAAAATAAAAAGCACTATGCTAAACCCATGTTATTTAAAATACTAAGTATGACTTTGTGACTAACGTGAGTAATTGTATCATTTAAAAAAGTTTACTCACTGGTCTTGGACAAAGAGCTTGAAATGAGTCCCCAGAACTACATGCTGTAATGCTGTAATACCACACTTAATAGAGAAGATTCGCCCAACAAGTAACATGGTCTGCAATGAATTTGGATGCCATTCAGTCTCCTGTAGGTTAAGTTTCAGTAACAGGAATATTAGATGCATTTAACATCTGCTACAAAGCCCCTAATATGATTTTTTACAGGTTTTGTACAAAGACACATAGTAACATTTCCAATCTGTTTCCAAGTTAATTAAACTGGGAGACAAAACAAAAATGCTTTTTTACAAGTGAAGTCTGTTTTGTGGCTACTTCAGTGATTTTTTTTTTCACATCTTCTCCTTTGAATCACTGTAATCTTGGCCCTGCCCCTGTTGAAAGGCTCTAATATTGGTTTTCCATGATGGCTCAGTTTTTTAAATTTCATGTAAATGCAGAAAACCACAACCTACCAGTGCAATTCCAGACATTTAAATAACGATACCTGCAGTTTTTGCTTAGAAACATTAGCATTTTTTTTCTATAAAGATGTATATATTTTGTATACTTCCTTATTTTCAGCATCAAAAAGTAAAAAGAAAAATCATAAAGATCAGGACCAAGGCTATCGGCTTGTCTTGAGTGACTTGAATGTCTTGAATGAACAAGCATTTAATGACTAGTCACAATTCTGTCCTCTTCCATGGCAAAGTGAACATAACATGAGACAACACTGACCAAAGACAGAAAACGCAGATCCAAGATGTTCTACAGTATATCCAAATAAGAGTTTTAATCAAAGCACAGACAGAATACAGTATTTTGAAAACTTCCCTCCCTCAAAGATATAAAAATACTTCATAAGAAAGTTGAATTTTCATTTTTACAAATAATATACAAATATTGCTCATTGCAAACCATATAATACAATTCTGTGGTACAACTATTGCCTACTTTTAGGCATGTGCATTCCCTGAACTGTTCTCCTTAGCAAACAGAAGTACTTGCCACCAACAGTAAATAATGTGTTGTTAACTACAGTGGAAACTGTTGAAGAAAATTCTTCTAAACGTACACTTTGTGTATCCATCAGATTGCTACACTAAAAGACTTACTCACATGAATTATATTAACGTGGATAAATGTTTTAGGGTCAAACTTGAAGGAAGACTGAACAATCCAGTCTTCCATGCTCTGAAAAAAAAAAAAAGTCATTATGCTTTGTTACCTATGTAGAAAGCAAAAAAAATCCATTTTTGAGCTTGGCATTTGGGGCTGATTAACTCTCACCTTCAGAATTAATTGTAGGAGAGAACAGATCCTTCTAGACAAAAACAAGATTGATGAAGTTATTAATTACTAAGATTTATCCAGAAAAGGACAGTGCACAAATGATGATTTTCACTTTACCTCAGGAAGGGAATACTCATGTTATTTGATATCCTGGTGTTGGCTTTCCATTGTCACAGTTCTCCTCCTCTCTACTTGTCACATTCCATCATCGACTGAAGCTGATTTGTCTCAGTCAGTTAGCAAATGATTCTTTGCTGAAGGCCAGAAAACGTACCGAAAAACACAAGGGACTCCAATAACTGATGTGGAAAGTTTGGGGAACATTTAAGGAATGCTTTGATTTGTGGATGGGTGGAATTACATTATGAAAAAATTGAGAAACCTTGAATGAGGAATAGAGATTGGTGAAACAGTAGGATTCTACTGAAGGGAGAAAGGAATTCAATACCTTTCCTTCTAAAATAAAGCTTTAATGAAAAAAAGATCTTTGCTGAATGTTCTGCAGTCTCACTGCACTATGCGGTGCTGCGGTCTCACTGCAGCATGCTCTCTGCTCAGCTGCCACCTGGGTCAACCTGCTTGCTGTCCTAAAGATGCATCTGCAAGGATGGAAATGCACCGAATGCACAGGAGGAATCATGATCTACATCACAACAGCCACGCACAAAATAGTAACTGACCCAGTTCTTTTGGTGACAGTGACTTAGATAGGGACTCTGTTCTCCTTGGCCCACTTTTTCATGATGCGGATAATGTATTCTACCTGAGGATTACCAGTGCTCCTCAGAAGATGCACCACTTCCCGTAAAGTCTCTCTGCAAAGGTAAAGGACAAAAATTGAAAGGACAGTGAGAATAAACTGAAATCATTTGAAATTTACATAAACAAACCCCTTACCCCAAATTATTTTGCCCAACATTGTTCCTGGATAGAGAGATGCTTCCATCTGCAGAGCAGAAATAGATAAAAGTGTGCAACAGTCTAGATCCTAGGACAACAGATAAGGTCTTGTATGTAATTTCAACAAGAGAGAATTTAAAAGGAAAAAGCAGCGAAGTACAACTAATTGGTTTGGAATTTAGCCCATATGGATATATATACAAAAATGCCCCCACACATTTAAATGTATATAATTTATATAATATTATATATAAAACGTCTGTATATATACACATGTATATGTATACATTTTAATACATGTAGCTTATATTTATAAATGATTAAATATTATAAGAGTGCATATATATATGCACACATAAATACACATGTATATGTGTGCATATATGTATATAATTACACACACTCATATTTATAAAAATCCTTATTCTTGCAAAATAGCTCCCCAAAACAAAGCAATTATTATTTTTTTTCCTGTTGGTTTTTATGCTTTTTTCTAGTCTTCAGTATGACAACATGTAACTTCATACTGCCAAAGCACCATACGCCTTACAAACAAAAGGAGAATTATCATCTTTATGGCAAGAACTTGCATACATAATAAAGAACAAGTAAGCTATATATATTTTACTGCATCTAGTGCTGTCTTTTCCAAAGGGATTCCTGAAGCAGTTGAAGATGTTATGCCACCAGAGAAGGGGGTAGAAGAATGATGTAGAAGCCAAGGTACACATCTTCCAGTCATGTATAAATAGCAGTGTTGGCCAGGGCAGAACAGCTATCTGGCATCACATCTGAATATTCATGAGGGAGCAGCTCTTAACTATAGTGTCACTGCTCTCACCCATTCTTCCATTGAGTGAAACTGGGCAGGAGTAAAACAAGCGGCACAACAAGTATCTTTACCTGATATGGACAGAATCTTCAGAAAGAACATTTTAGTGAAAGCCCAGTCTCATCTACTTACTGTTTAGAGAACCACTCTCCTTCCTGCATTGTTGAGTAAATTTTTACCTCTTTTTGTTCTATGAACCTTGAATGGCATAGGATAGTTCTTCCGTTCTCAGGCCATTAAAATGAAATGAGTTCCTTTCCCTTAAGATACGTGCATACTATATTTATAACTTAGCTCTTCCTAGTATAATGACCAACACTGTATTTTGGTTCCCTGGAGTTCATAGCATTCACTGATAAGATACTCTCCACAGCGTATTCCGTAACTGATGGTTTAGAAGACAAACGTCAAAAAACTACATATGGAATTACTGGTCAGAGTTTGTTTTTTCCAAAAGGTCAGAAATGAATTGGAAAAGGACATGCATTCCTGAAGCCGTGGTTATGATTTTAGCTTACATCTAACTGGATATAGCAAAAGAGAAAATCAACTCATAAATAATACTTACTTTGCTTCTCGGCCAGCTAAGATCATTTGAAAGACACCCACACAAGCGCCTCTCTTGCCTTCCCAGTATTCAGGATTACTGTCCAATCTCTCCAGAACATCAAATGCTTTGGCTGAGTAGTAAAACTGACCCATCTGCAAAAAAAGAGAAACATATACTTATTGCTAAGTATATGACCATCTTTCAGAAGGGCATTAAATATTTTGATCTCATTTTTCTAAAATCAGCAGTAAGGCACAGAAGCAACATGCTTTTTCCAGGTTTTCTCCTGGCAGTGAGTGACACAAAGAGGCATATTCCAGTTCCTTGCAGGAAAACAGGTGGCATTTTATTATTATTGCAGGTCTTTGAACCTATCTATAGACAAACTGCACTGTGAACTTTTTTATTTGGCTGTCAACAACTTGTTCTCATTTCGATCATGTATAGCTAACATTAGCTTAGAGAACAACTTTTGTGCTTTTGCTTTTTACAACTAGCATTAGCCTTTAAAGTGTGACTTGCCCTATTGCAGTAGGTACAAAGTTCTCTTAATATTAGATTCAAACTATGTCAAACATTTTAAAACAGGATCGATTTTCCTCATATAGAGATGGTCACAAAGGCAGATATAGATTTCTTTTGCATTTAACTTAGGGCTAAGTTTTACTCTTCATTGTTGCACTACAATACAAAATTAGATTCAGTGGCACTTTAATCCAGAATCTTCCTGAGCATAGGAAAATTCAGTGTGTATCCTATTCTCCATCAGTTTCTCTACTTGTAAATGGGGACAAGAAGCATATTGGTTGGTACAGTCAGTAAGAAAGGAGTAACTACAGTAACAATAACAATAATTCCCTTTTCTTGAAATGCATGGTGAATTTACCACAGGGACAAGCATTTATAAGATGAAAATAAAGAGTGAGCATAAGCAATATCAGACATCTCAGCTAAGTATAAAAAAAAATAAATACTGATCTCCCCAAACTGTCAATTAAATAAGTTTCATAACATTTGATGAATGAGAGTGAACTGTTCCATTAGTGGATTTCAGTCGAATATCCTCCTTCTGTCTCTCATAAAAGCAGGAAGAATGCTTTGTTCCAAATCAAATCTTTCCTATATGGTTAAGATGGGCTTTTCCATGGTGTAGTAGCAAGAGGTGAGACAGAAGTCCTGCATCCCATTTCTCCCCAAACAACTCCTGCAGGCCAGAATAAACTGCTATGAGGCTTCCAGCTACACCTGGTGTGAAGCAGCTGTTGGCCTTGCTCCATTCTTGTTCATCTGGCACTCTGCTGAATGAAGCTGTCTGGCTGTCTTCTTCAGCTATGGCTGTGGCACTTTCGCAGGCCTCCAATTTAAGACAGTATTTCAGAAGCAACTAGAGAATGTTACACAGCCTCAAACAGGAGTTTGGGAGGTGGTACAAGTTGGAGAGGTACTAACAGCGAGTAGTGTGGATAAGCAGTGAAGATAAGCTATAATGGTACAATAAATATTTGTGATAGTCTTTGCAATAACATTTCTTGGTTTTTGGAGCAGTCATCTTGCCCATATATACATAATACACAGTTTGAAACATTTAATCTTGTAAGTGCGATTTTTAAGAGCACTGGCTAAATCAAAAGATGGAAGTGCTTCTCCTCTAGCGTACTATACAGTTTCAAGAGGAATCTAGGCAAAGTAATCAACTTATTGAAGTGAAACTCAAAATGACCTAGAGATCAAATCACTTTCACAGTTGGCAGTCACCAGAAACACCTAAGGCCTAGCTGCTTGCTTGATCAAAAAGACCATTTTAGGGTAAGATGGTGATCGGAATACTTAGAGCTGTTTAAGACAGAATTCCTTACGTATTTTTTTGGAAGAGTGCTTTTGAGATCACAAAGAAGATTATCTGAGTTACAGTTAAGTGCTCTTTAGGATTCTGAGAACCCCAGTACTGTCAGATGAAAGCAAATAGACAGCAAAAAAGAATGTTATAGATGGTATACATGGTAAACATGTAAACATGGTATGCAGATATTTCTGTTCTTTGGAGAACTTGGCAGCATTGACAATCATTGTGAGATTTTCAAGAGGACCCTTCTTATCTCTCTTTCATGTTGGGAAGTTCGGCCACTGTATCTCTAATAAACCTATGCTAGTAGCTGCTCGCTCTTGTGTATTCATTTATCTTAGGAGTCTCTACTAAACCAATTCCATGAGATTTAAGTCTATTATCTTTGTTCTGCTGTTTTCACATCTGCCTCTTAGAACAGTACAGTATGATACTTTCATGGTCAAATTATAAACTGTCTTTATATTCTACATTTAATTTAAATTAAACCTAAAATGACCACTCCCCAAATAACTTAAGCCCCACTCCTAATATAAGTAGCTTGTGCCAATACATTCTGAAAATTTGATGGTCTGTGCCTTGCCATAGTGTTTTCCCAAAGAACATCCCCTTCTCCCATCACAGAACTGATAATTCCTCCCCATAAGTCTCAGCTCAATGCAATCATTCCTATAGATGGTAGAGAGGATACTTGAATCTAGCATCCCGTTGTTGCCTACTGGCACACACTGCGCAGCAGTAGTCTTTGCACAGGACAACCGTATTTTTTTTCCTCCTATAATGTCATATACAATCTTCTCAGAACAGTTGGTCTTCATGTATCTCTACATCTACCCTGTGGATGAAACTCTCATGTTTTCTTTCATGTTTTGCAGAAGAGCAAAGAGCTTAATAAAGCAACTGCAAACAGCCTCTTGTTCACAAATGTTTGCTCAATCTTCTAATTTGCTATGCAACATTTTATAGGGCTGGACTGAAAAAAAAAAAAAAGAAGTGCTACTAATATGAAGTACCTCACTGTAGGTAAATCTCTCTGAAAAATTTCATTTGTCCATCAAGAACAGATAGAGCTAAGTCTCCCTGTGTAAAAGCACCATCTAAGAAACTAGAGTGAGGCAGAGTTCTGATCTGCTCCCCAACACGTCTTCAGTACTAATGTAGCTTTGTTTAAGTGAGAATTTGGAAGTTTGCCAGCAGTATATTAGCACTCACTATTTGAGCTTGTAAACACTGTCTAGAAGCTTTGTACATATAAAAGAGCATATATTTTAACTAGTTCTAAAATGCCCAGAAGCATCTGTTTAGTCTCTGCTAAAGCGAACACGGCCTGGTCTAACTTGATTTTTAAAAGTATGTCAGTCAGGTCGATTTAACCTCGTCTCTTTAACAATCTACTCTAGAAAAGGTTCAAGAGAAAAACTGTTATGTGTTAGCATGGATTCAATTAGTATTAAAGGAAGCTTTTGTTACTGTGCTAAAAACTCAAGCATGCAGTAATTCCCAACATTATAATCCATGGGTTGTCTATCCAGAAGACCTGTTGGTTAAAAAGCAGACTAGTCTTTGCCAACTTATGTACATTATTAATAGTCATATCAGCGCTCTAAGTGAAAATTCACAAACACAAATTATCAAAAAGAATAGTGGTTAGTAAGACCACTGAATTAACACGCCATACATTAAGCTGCCAAGAGAAGACTCACTTTGTAGCAATCATTTGCAATGAGCTGCAAAAGACTAAAGGATTCCCCTGAGGTTTCCATCTTCAAATAGAGTTTCCAGGCCAGCTGTGGCTTCTTATTCATAATATCTGCAATAATAACAGAAAGTTGAGATTGTGCAAAAAGTATACTGTACACAATACTCAGTGCTGGGTGGAATAAATACTTCTAAACATCTTTGCTCAATTTAACAGCATGCCTTACCCTATGAGCATAAGGTTGGGAAGGGAAATTTATCCTGGTATTTTGACTTATTGGTGATAACAGTAACTCATCAGAGAACATCAAAACCATGAAGAAGAATCTCAAAATCTTCATGACACAGATACAAAAATAACTACAAGTCCTATGATTTCAGATGCGTTTAAAGAACAGAATGGAAAGAAAAAAAAATGCATTTATCCAGAAGCAGCAGCTGCGACAATCCATTCAAATGGTGAGACTTACGATTGTGTGTTCTTACACACAGAAAAATTTTAATTGACACCAATATGAGATCTTCAATCCTTAGTGCCCACCTCCTCCTAAACACTCAATTCCTATGTTTTTTAGCTGACAAAGGGATGCTTCAAAAATCCTAAGTGTAACAAACCTTATGCCTTTACTAGAAAAAAATGCTTCAAAATTCCAGAGATTTTGTGGTCAAATTAAAATTTGCATATGTGACTGGAACTTTTCATCAATCTTTAACTACAAATATCACAGTTATATTACAGTACAGTTAGAAATGAAACAATCTGAATCTTCCATCTTAGCTAGCAGAAATTCTACTAGGATGTTTGAATATTCTAAAAAATATGCTAAAAATTTAGCATTTAGAGTTTTAGAATTCAGAATATTCTAAAATTCTAAAAATTGTTTTTCTGGAGATAAGAATCCATTCTGTTTAACTGGAGGTTTTACTGTTAATTCCTGATAAATTCAAGTCTTGGGGGAAAAAGAAAGAGAGATGAAGTATTTCTCTCCTTTTCAAGTTTTATCAGTTACTCTCAGAGAGTACTAGCTGTTAGTGCACGGACCACTCCTGTACTCTTTTCAAAAGAGGGTTTGTTTAGCTTTTTGTTGTTGTTGTTTTTTAAATCTGTGCCCACTGGGCCACTAGGTGTGTTGCCTGTAGAATGGGTGGCAATCATCAACAATGAACATGTAACATCAAATTAGATGACTTATAGACACTTCTGATGTAAGAAGCAGGAGGACATCACACCAGACTTCTTGTTTCGTTAGCTCCAGATAACAAACATAGTGGCAAACAGCTAGGTTCTAATTCCACACATGATTTGTTGAACTAATGAATCCAACCCCGTTAATAGGGAGGGGAAAAAAGGGAGGGTGAGAGGGGGGAAAGAAAAAGCATTTATAATAATAATTACCAATCTATCTATATAGAGATATATAGCACTGTGCTAATTCAGTGACTTTTTACCTTCTCTAAAGGAGGAATTGAATATAAATTTTACAACATTAAACAAAAAATACTGTCTAGCATCCAAAAAAGGATGCATCTCCACTATTTTTCATCCATTGATAGTATTTCAGGATTGAATTGTCTAAACTTTCATACCTAATCATAGTCTGACATGAATGTATTAAAATGCTTTGTAATTTCCATGGCAGTTTTCATCCAGAAGGACATAATAGTAATTTTCTTACTTGACACAAAAAGACCATTACACTCATCATTAAACAGTTGTATCTGTAAAGAGTTCTATCAGCAGTTTGGGAGCCAATCTCAAAATTTTAAGACAAATATAGAAGAATACAGCAGCTCTACTGAAACTTCACCAGGAATTTAGAACAGAGAAAGGCACACTGAAGAGTAAGTAGGAACTCTCATAAAAGTGCTAAATTTTTTTTCTACTGACAACATAGTACTAATTTTACCTCTTGTATAAAAAGTATGACCATCAAAAAGTTCTACTTCTTTCAGCTCTATGTCAAAGAACTGCTTTAGCACTGAATCAAAGGGGTGCAGACTACTACTGAACTACCATGATTTCCGTTAGCAGTGGGAGTTCTCTCATCAGAAAAAGTATATAAAAAATCATACATTTTATCAAAATCAACACTGTGGATTGAGGATTGATGAAAAGAAAGAAACTGGCACGTCCTAGGATAGAGTCAAAGACAGGCAGTCAAAGGTATGAAGTGACTGTCTGGGAAGATCACATTACAGATGTTGACCACATCCGCAATATGAAACAACGCCCCGAGATCTATCTCTTTAGATCCCATCTACTACTTCTCAAATTTGATTATGATATGAGAACATTTTTATATTGAGGTACTGCAAATGAAATAAATTAGGCTAGGAAGTTTCAGACTTGAGTCATTAGAAAAGCTCACCTCTACACTGTATCACATGCTGCATGTAGCCATGTCTACCTTGAGGTGTGTACTCTGTAACGTTTTAGGAACAGTTTGGAAACAGTAAAAAAAAAATCTGTAGGATATTAAAGATATTAACAACCTACTTGGTCCGTACTTGGACTAACGGACAAATCTGTATAAGAAAAAACATGCTAATAATTATAAAGGAAATCGTGGAGCCACAGGTATTTGAATAGGAGGAAGTACAGCATAGTAGGAAGGGAAATACCACACTTTACCTGCTTTTTCTTCTCTCTCTTTTTTTTTTTTTTTACTCTTCCCCAGTCATCCAGCGCTGTCCCATCTTATCTAAGAGGGCACTGAGCTAGACAGACTGTTCTGTCTGACCTAGTATGTCTGTTTCTCTTTTATGTTTAACCATTTCAAGCTGTAACCAATCTTTTAAGACCGGAAATCTTAATTCAAACATTTGAGAACAAAAAAGCTCACAAGTTCGGACAAAGCTGCATTGACAAAATCATAATAACACTTCACTGAAGCAGCAGTTGCTTACAAAAGCTGTATGTATGAACAGTGGAATAACCACCCACACTATAACCAGCTAGTGCAATCAGCTTTTCACTTTCATAGTCTTAAATCCACCTCCAACATTAAATTCAATTAGGAAGGTGGGTTGCCAAGACTGACGCAATAGAGGAGGATCTGTATTCTGCAATGTTGAGAGCAAAGTGACTCACAGCAGCGAGCTAGCCAGCTAAGGTAAACAAAATCATTCTTTATCTTCTCACTCTGGATCAAAAGGAACACCTGCAGGAAGAAGCAAAATAAAAGATTACATATGCATGTACTTTTAAACAAGCAGAAGGCAGACTTGCCTCATTTCAACATGCAATTAAGACAAGCCACATGAACAACTGCTTCAGGAGAAGGGGGAAGGTAGGAAATTGCAGGGCATGGGCGTAGCTCTGCATTGGGCAGGTGGAGGATTTGAAACTCGTCCAAGCTGTGCCAAGGGGGCAGCATGCGCCCAACAAGTGCGAGTGGGTGGCCATGAAATTACAAATGGCACAAAGGAAGACAAGGGGCTGCAAGAAAAGTTATTTGCAGTGTGTTTGTTTAGCAAGCAATGCAAGCTATTAAATTAGCATCTTTCTGAAATACCAGAAGTTTCATGCACACAATCCTTTCCTCCTCATACGTGCCAGAAATCATTTGGGGTCAGCAATAAACTCTAACTGATTTGGTTTTAGCAAGGTTCTGAGGCAAAACATTAGCACTGTCCTGCAACTACAAATCTGTTCTGGCTTTTTTTTTTTTTTTTGTCTTCTTGTGCCTTTCTGCAGGTATATTTGTTCTTTTACTAGGATGCTATTGGTAAAAATAAAAATGACTTTGTAGGAGCGGGTGTGCATACTGGAAGAGTGAGTTCCACTGATTACTGACAGTTTTATTGGTTAGACATTTCTAACTCTCTATTTTTTTGGGAGGAAAAAAAAACCTTATTACTATGAGCAGCACTTTATCATAGGGTTTATTTCATTATGTCCATGGAGGTAATCTTTTCAAGAAATTATATAGAGTGCTATATGTAGAGATATTACACAAGTCTATGAGATGGGGAGGGCTATTCTTTACCTGAAAGTTCCACCACAGTCAAAAATAAGATAGCAGGACAGATTAATCAATTTACTTACATTAACCAATGATTTAAAAACTATGATCAGTTATATAACACAAGTTGGTACAGAACCACTGATAAGAACATAAGCAGGAAAAACATGGATTAACAACAGCTTACACTTTGTATTACTTTTGCTGTCTGGCTGCAGCTAAAGATTTCTTATGGGGTTATCATTTTCATTTTTTATGAACTCTCAGTATCAGCACAGTCTTATTAGCATAATGCCAAAAGACATTTACCTGCGTTTTCATTAAGGTAACTTAATCTAGCTAAAATAATTGCAATAATTTCAACTGCAAATGCATTTTGCCTGATACACTTAAACATTTTTCTTAAGGAGAGATGGAATTTCAGATCACAGAAATTGCGCAAGATGTTGAAAAAAAATAAATAAGCAGGGGAAAGACTTTGTTATCCCAGAAACTGGAAGGGTTAAAAAATTAAAAAAGAGGAAAAATAGAAAAAGATTCAAAAATTACATGCTTTGCTTAAAACCATATAAATTTCTTGGTGTGCTCTCTGATAGCTTTCTGGAAAAATATTGCTTCCTTCTTCATAATAGCTATATCTTAGTTCTGCATATCTTAGTTGTAATTAAGTTTCTGGTGTACATAGACACAAAAAATGCTTGGTGTAGAAGCTAATCTCCTCCAGCTGCATCTGGATGCCGCTGAATAAGATAATGAGCACTTCCTCTTTTCCTCCCATATCTCCCAGAGGAAGAATTTTTTGTTGTTGCTTTTTGTTTTTTTTTAAAACAAATTTCTAGGAACACCTAGCAGCTCTTAACTATTCAGCGTCTTTGCTTAAGATGTCCTAGTCTGTCTGAGCAATAAGACTGCCTAGGATCCCAGACAAAGCGTAGGACATCTGATTAAGAGGGCATTCTTTGATCAATTGGAGATAGCTGCAAGCACTCTTGTGATGCACCACAAGCAGCACGACTTCCCGTGTACCTCACATTACCAGATTAGCAAGACAATCTTTTCTGAATAGTGTTCACCGACAGATCCAGTTCCTCTAGAAGGGGAAAATGAACTTCCACACAATCTGCTTATTTTCAGCCAACAGTAAGATTCGGAGGGAGGAAAGGAAAGAAAGAAGGGAATGTGGAAAACATTTTGTCTTTTTTTTTTTTTAAGACAGTAAACACATACCTCTTCAGCCTCGCTAGAATTGCCCATGGCAGCTTTGGCTTGGGCGTAGTTAAAGTTGAAAGTGTCATCATTGTAGAAGTAACTCTGGAAAATAAGCCACACAGACTGAAAAAGACTTCTGTGGTATAACAATATTAAACATAACCCCCTCCCCAATCTGAGTCAGACTATATCAAGACAACAGGAAGGAAAATGAAAAACCCACATTATGAACGTACAGCATTTATAAACAGTGGGTAGAAAATTACAGACTGGGTTTCCATCCTACATTCGTAACTACAAACATAGCTGAAACATTCCGGAGTATTAACCATGAGAGATCTGGAGAATGCTCCAAGCTCAAAGCTGCAGTGGCAGCCTTTACGGGTTTAATTTTCAACGGGGGCATGTGAAGACATGCTGTGGTACTGTGGTTTCTTTACCTTCCAGAAAATTTACACATCTAGAGCGGTGAAAATGCAGTTGACTCCCTAATGGCTTAAGGAGATGAACAGTTTGTTTTTCCAGGGCTTCTCAAGGTTCAGGAGGAGATCCTGTGGATCTGGTTTTGTGACGGATGCTGGGCTGACATCCTAGGCCACGTGATGGAGGTGGAGCTGTGGCACTGGACTGTAGCCAGGGCACATACCTTGTTGTACGGCTTCCGTAAGCATGCGCCTTGCTTACCCTTCTCCCTATATGAAGTGCAACACTAAGGCTTTTATTTACCGTAGTATTAGACTGGACACAATCTGACTAGTGGTACATTATGTTGATTTGGCTGTATCTTTTCTGGTTGTGTGGGCCAATGCAGGACAAATGATTTTAGCTAGAGATGAGACAGATCTTTGGGTCTGACCCAAATGGCTGAGATTTAATGCCGGTCAAATGTCCAGATTAAAGTGTAACTCAAATTACCAAAAGTCAGCTAAGAACATGCTCCATGAGTCAGTACTACCACCACAAAGCTGCCCAGGTAGGTCTGGTATAAGCAAGCTGGAACATGGTACCTTAGCTCAAGGACAAATGGGAAGAAACAATGAGGATTCCTGTTAAGCAGAATTGCAGTACTCATAAAACAAACAAACAAACAAAAAACCTTAGTACTAAGAGCACTGCTCAAAGTCTCTGCAAGAAAGGCTTTTCTCAGTTCCTAACAGCAAGGTATGGGATACAGAAATGCTTTTCCTTTTATAACACATATGAAAGAAACAATGGTTGTGTTAGGCAGTTCAGGTTTTAGCTAACTTTTGTTTTGTTCCCTCACTAGTAGTGAGGAGGAGGTAAAATCACATTTGGACCTTGTAAGGGATATAGGAAGCAAGGGGCAAGACCCTTTCCCAGGGCTCTTCATCTTCTTCCATTATGGAGGAAGGCTTGAGAACCTCTTCCTTTCCCTGTCCCCAGCAATCACAAAAGTATTGACTGAGTTCCCCTACATACATCAAGCCAGACACACATGAGAGGAGTCTATGTTAGATTTTGGAAATAGCTGGCAAATACAGCTTGCTATTCAGATGAATTTCAAGCTTGGTTTGTGAAACATTTTTATACCTTTACGATGAGCTAACTGGTTTCACAGTATGAGAATAGAGCAAAGTGTTGCCATTCTTCCTCAATGACGGTTGTGGATGAATCAGCAAAAGTCCCAGGTTAAGCAAAGATGGAGAGCAAGATGTTAGTTTTACTGCATTAATACTTCCTTTGGTTCAAATACTCCCATTGTATTTTTGAGTGAATATGGAAAAAAACTCTCATCAGCAACCAAACTCAAAACCTGTGTCAATCCATTCAGGCTGTACTAGTGCTAGAGACCAGGAAGGCTGCAGAACCAAAACTGCAAAATCTGGGTGACCAACAGTGCAGTATGTTTGTGTTGGCTTGTGTTTATCGATTATCTTCAGCATGGACACAGTATCTGCACTGCACTCCACTCTCTGGGGGTCTTTTCCACAGAACTAACGGTGCTTTAAGTGATGTCTGTTTCAGCAAGATGCTCAGATATCCAGCTGAAGAGCAATGCATTCCTTATGACCAGAATTAAGCTGACACGGAATCAGCTGGTCTTCCCAGAGGATCCTCAGTGTTATAATGTCACCCTCAGGCCAGTTGGCAATACATTTATAGTAAGGTGTCCTCTGAGACATTCTAGTGCCTGGAGCAGTTTTAAACCATCATGGATGAAGTTTTAATCAATCACGGATGAATCATGGATCAATCATGCATGATATCCTGTTTGCAGGAATATCACGCAAAGTCTTCCCAGAGTGTACAGCTCTACCAAAAAAGCCACTTTACCGGGTAAAGTAAAGATACTTCACTGAGGTTGATTCTTAAGAAATGAAACGCACAAAGCATACCGGAAAGCCACCTAAATCTTGACAGAGAAGTGCTACAGGAGAAACAATCTGCACCCCTGAAATCAGAAGAGGAGTGACCTATCAGCTTGATCAGTGCGAGCTGATCTAGCTTTCTCAGCTAGAAAATGTAACAGCTATTTCAGAAGAACAATACACGGAAAGCTGTAATGGGCATCAAACTTTTGTCCCTAGCCCTTGCTACTTGTCAACTGCATTATGTCTCCAAGAACTTGCCTCTATTTTATTTAGGCTTGGATGATTTTGCAATTGGCTTGATACAATCTATGAAATTTTCTAAACTTTTGACTTCAAGGATATGCTACGACACTGAGTTCCCTAAACCAAGAAAGTATCATGAACTTGCTAAATTCCAGCACGCCACATCTTGTTTTCAACCTCTCCTAATAACGGAGGTTTCAAATCTACCTTATTTATTCTGATCTTCATTTTGTATCATTTGCTTTTCTAACTTATCTTATAACAAATAGTATCTCCCTCTCTTAAGACAATGGTCAAATCTCCAGCAATTGTCTAAGCCAAGCTGCTTTCTGCATTTGAAAAGGGAGTGGCCGGTATTTCAAAGAGGAATATACAGTTTGTGATTATATGCATCGATCTTTTCTATATAAATTTTCCTCACATAGCTTAATGTTTTGTTACATCTTCATGAATGCATTGAAGCCACAAATGTGAAAACTGAAGGAATGCCAATACGAAGATTACCCTTGACTAAAATGGGCCAAATCAAAACAAGTGAATGGTTACTGAATGCCACGAAATGCATTTATATATGCAGAATTTGAGTGTTACATACTGTAAAAGGAAATGACCATGGTCATTAACGCACCAGTTGTATCCCCAAAACAAGAGTCCCACCAATTTGATTGGCCATAAGGTTGACCTGCTGTTTGCAAGCTCCAAAATATCACGAAATTTTATCACTGATAACAGAATCACAGAATGATTAAGGTTGGGAGGGACCTTTGGAGATCATCTAGTCCAACTGCCCTGCACAAGAATGGTCACCCAGAGCATGCTGCACAGGGTCACATCCAGGTGGGTTTTGAAGATCTAAGAGAAGGAGACTCCCCCACCTCTCTGGGGAACTTGTGACACTGTTCTATCATGCTCGCGTTCAAGAAGTTTTTCCTCAATTTCAAGTGGAACTTCCTGTGCTTCAGTTTGTGGCTGTTGCCTCTTGCTGGTCACCACTAAAAAGAGTCTGGGTCCCTCCTCTTGACACCCTCCCTTTAGGTATTTATACACATTGATAAAATCCCTTTTCAGACAGCCGTCTTTTCTTTAAACTTACCAGGTCCAGTTCTCTCGGTCTCCCCTACCCTAATCATCTATCCTGGACTCTGTTCAGTAGTTCCATGTCCCTCTTGTACTTGGGGAGCCCAGAACAGGACACAGCACTCCAGATGTGGTCTCACGAGTGTTGAGTAGAGGGGCAGGATCACCTCCCTCGACCTGCTCGCAATGCTCTTCCTCATGCAGCTCAGGAGACCGTTTGCCTTCTTGGCCACAAGGGCACATGGCTGACTCATGGTCAACTCTTTATCCACCAAGACACCCAGTCCTTCTCTGCAGAGCTGCTTTCTGTAAGGACAATCCCCAACCTGTACTGGTGCATGGGGTTATTCCTCCTTAGGTGCAGGACCCTGTACTTGCTTTTGTTGAACTTCAAGAGGTTCCTCTCTGCCAACTGATCAAATTATCAAGCGATTATCTAAACACATCACTTGGAACCTGCAGTTGGCAGCATAACTTGGTAAGCAGTGAACAGTCAAATTCTGAAACAAGGTTTCTGCAATACGTCACTACTGTGACACTCCTAAATCTAACAATAATTTTAAAAATATGCATACATATATACTTGCCGTAATTTAAACCACCTTAGCCGCATTTAAGTTAATATTTTATTTCCTCCTTAACTACTACTTTCTTCTGTAACTAATTCACACTCTGCCCTGGAAAAACTACAACACTAAAATAAATTAATCTGCGTCACAGACCAAAGTCATGGAGAAAGTGGATTATGTCCAGCTGTGTGCTCACAAAGCCTCCTAACAGGTGGTAAATGGAAGACTCCTAATAGTATATCTTTGCCTCTGTGACCACTCACCTAATAGAAACATATCCCTGAGTATAGAACAATAGGCACATACAACATTGCTGTGCTGTACATGGGATATATGAGCAGCCTTCTACTGCACAACAGTTCTTTTTTTTTTTTCTGCTGCTTGATTTTGGCAAATTATTACAGTTCACCATGTAGAGAAGTCTATTTTGTAAGCAGAGATCCACATGTTATAATATGCAACAGCAAGACTCTTCACTTTATTCTCCTCTTTCAAACAAAAAAAACTAAGCTAAAAAAACCCAACCAGTCAAATAACCCTTTCTCTCCGCTATGCACACAACATGAAATCTTTTCTCTCAAATCTGACGAGGTAAGTACACTCCTTCCTGTATGTGATAATTATAGCAGAACTGTAGGTATGCATACGTCTACTATTTCTGCCTCCCTCTTGACATTGTTTCTGAACATTAGATCTATACCTCACCTATATTTTCTTCTGCATGGGATCTTATGCTAACGTTTTATGAACTAACATGGACAAAATCTGTGCTGTTCCTTTTCTCTTTAGATTTTTTTTCCAGCCCGGCTTGCAATGCTTTCCTTTATCCCCTCACAGATGCAGAATTGTCTCATCTAATCCCTTACCTTTAACACTACTCTTACCTCAAGCCTCTGCCCTATCCTCTCATCTCCCTTCTGCCTACTCTCAGATTCTTAATTTCTGTTTAGCATCTTGTTTGCTTCTGGCTGTTTTCTTTACAAACACTAGTCATGCCTTACTTTCCCATACTAAGCCTGACTCTATTTGCTTCTCCAGATGCTACCCTTCTCTGTCTCATTCCTAAGCTTTCTTATACACCTTGGAGGCAATGATTAATCTCATTTAACCAACCTTTTCAGGTTGGAACTAGTTGTTTAAGAACTTTTTAAAGTAAATGAAAAGAGATGGGCATTTCTGTGAGGTGACTCACTCCTTTCTAAGACAAAATGTCAGAAATAGACAGGATGAATTCTCCTTTGGAAACTACCATCTGTCTCTGGCTATAGAAGACCAGGGGATTACTTGTAACTAGAAGCCTGACTTTTGATGGCTGAAGATATGCAAAACGAATCTCATATTGTTAGTTTCCAGCACTGAGCTTCTCCAATTACACACACTCTCCAAACTGTTCTTTGTCTGTTCATTCCACTGCTACTTGCAATTTTTTTTTCAGTAGCCTCTTCCTAGCTAAAGTTTTAAAACATTTTCCTGCTCCATTTTCTCTGACTCATCAGCTGCTTTTGTCACCATTACAACCATAGTGGCAACCATCATTTTCTTCAGATCTCAAGCTTCTTAGATCATCATAATTATCCTCATCTAGCATATCTCTCTAATAATTCTTTTGAAGACTCTTGTTCCCCTCCTCACCAAATGCAGAATTGTCACTACTTTCAAATTGCTGGGACAAGACCACAGTCACTTAATTCCATAGTCAGGATCCAGCCTCTCTCTGGGTCCTCATATCTGATTTATAACTGGACATTTTAAAGCTACAACCACTACCATCCATCATTATGATGTGATAATGTTGCACTACAGTAACCACAGGCTCTTTCTCTTGAAAAAAATTCAACATTGCCTGCCTGCAGGGAACCATTCAGATTACTTTCACAAAAGTAATATTCTTAGCTCACTCTGCTTTGGTAATATTGTCCTTCCTTAGCCCTTCAGTAAATGCTTTCTCTAAAAATGTATGTGCTTTATTTCTTTCAGGGTCACAGAATCACAGAATGGTTGAGGTTGCAAGGGACTTCTGGAGATCTTCTAGTCATCTAGTTCAAGCAGAATCACCCAGACCCCGTTCAGACGGCTTTTGAATATCTCCAAGGATGGAGACTCTACAACCTCTGCAGGCAACCTATGCCAGTGCTTGGTCAACCTATGCCAGTGCTTGGTCAACCTCACAGGAAAAGCTTTTCCTCATGTTCAAAAATAACTTGCCATGTTGTCTCTTGCCCTATCACTGGGCACCAACAAAAAGAGTCTGAGTCCTTTCTCTTTACGTCCTCCTATCAGGTATTTATACACATCGGTAAGATCTTCCCCCCAGCCTTTTCCAGGATGAACAGTCCCAGCTTTCTAAGCCTTTCTTCATATGAGAGAAGCTCCAGCCCCCTAATCATCTTCGTAGCTCTATGCTGGACTTGTTTCAGTAACTTCAAGTTTCTCTCTCAGATTGGGGAGCCCAGGACTGGACACAGCACTCCAGATGCAGCCCTACCAGGGCTAGTAGAGGGGGAGGATTTTACCCATTTATACTCATGGATCTGTGGGTATAAATGATCTCTAACTTGATCCTCATCAATTAAGGGAAAGTCTTCCTTTTTCCAAACTTTCTCTTGTCTCCAGGACCTGGGATTCCAGAGGACTATTCTTAGCAGTAAAGACTGATGCAACTCTGTAACTCTGCCTTCTCCGTATCCTTCATCAGCAGGGCACTCACCCCATTCCGCAGCAGGCCCACATTTTTCTTAGTCTTCCTTTAATTACTGATGCATTTGAAGAAGCCCTTCGTGTTGTCCTTCATAACTCTTGCCAGATTTAACTCCAAATGGTCCTTAGCCTTCCTCGTTGTATCCGTGCGTACTCTGACAACATGCCTTCCAAATGGCCTGTTCCTTTTTGCACATTCTGTATACTTCTGTTTGAGTTTTGCCTGGAGCTACTTGATTTTCCACGCAGGTCTCCTGTCCCCTCTGCCTAACTTCTTACTCACAGGGTTGCTGAGATCTTGAGCTTGGAAGAAGCGATGTTTAAATATTAACCAGAACTCTTGAACCCCATTTCCTTTTTGGGCCCTAACCCACAGCATTCCTCAAAGTAGATCCCTGAAGAGGCTGAAAATTGCTCTCCTGGAGTCCAGAGTTGCAATGCTACTTATTGGCCTGTTTCCTCCTTGTAGGATCTTGAGCTCCTGACCATCTCATGGTCCCTGCAGCCAAGGCTGCCCCCACCTTCAGATCTCCAACCAGTCTTTCTCTGTTAGTACAAGATACAGCAGCACATCTCTACTCATTGGCTCCATCACCTGTGTCGGAAAGGTATCCTCAGCGCTCTGCAAGTACCTCCTGGATTGTTTGTGCCCAGCTGTGTTGTCTTTCTAGCAGGTATCAGGCTGGTTGAAGCCTGCCATGAGAACCAGAGCCTGTGATCATGAGGCTATTTCCAGCTGTCTGTAGAAAGCCTCATTGAATTCCTCATCAGATGGCCTGTAGTAAACACCCACAACAATGTCACCCATATTAGGCTGTCCTTTAATCCTTATCCATAAGCTCTCAACTCGCTCATCCACCCCTAGACAGAGCTCAACACATTCCAGTTGCTCCCTCACATAAAGAACAACTCCACGACCTTGCCTTCCTGGCCTGTCTTTCCTAAAAAGCCTGCAGCCATCC